CGCTGCATAACGATACTTTGAAGTGGGAATGGAAGGTGTACATGCTGTTATAGTTCAGTAAGAGCGTGATAGATAAAAAAGGAAACGAAAGCGCTCACTCGTTTATTTCCTCACTTGATAGATGTAGTATGTTAATCCAGTTCAGCTACATCAGGCTAATCACATGGACACTTCAATTATTCTCACCGCCACGTTACGGCGTGCTCCGTTAAGCACATGGTTAGGTTTGCGTTATTTCGTCCTCCAAGTGCAACGGAATGTATTAAGTACTGCAACTTTGAAAGCGTATCATCAAGGCTTTTTCTGAAAGCGGTAATGTAGGGGCAAGCCCAACTTGAGTCGGAAGGGTATTCCAGGCACGGGCAACACGGAGGGAGAAAAGGTTTCGTCTACAATCAAGTCAACTTTAGTACATAGCCAGTTCCAGCTGATGGCCTTTCAGGTACGTATTTTGGCTCAGCTGCAACAGATTGCGAAATGGATGAGTTGCGTTCGTCCGTATTAATTAAACCATAATTAGGTCTCCTTGCTGACGTCGATATTTACCACTGTACAAGCTCAGGGACTGCAGTCTGCGTTGGTAGGAGATACGAAACAATCCTCTAAAAAGTTGATCGCCCTATATTATGGAGCTTCAAGTATATCGACGTCGCGCTTGCGCCAGGGACGCTGGGCATGAACCAGATATTCCACTAGAAACCTCACGTAGAAGTGCAGCATTTGCGGAAAGATTGTGGCTCAAATTTGCCGAAAGTCTATTGTAACGGTCCAAGGTTTTGGCGGGCTCCTTTTGATGCCTTTCAGCCTATTTCGAGCAACCAAGATCGTCATGCACGACATGTGTGTATGGATACGACTCAGCGAGAAGGAGATAAGAGTCCTGTCAACGCTAAGTTTACGTGTGATAACCGTGCTTCCAGAACAGGGAATGAGCATAGATGACTGCGGGTGTGTCGGTGTACCTTGGAGCGCTGGCAGTAGACAAAGTCTTGAGCCCAGTTAGGAACATCTTTATTCATGCTGGGCCAAACAAAATCCTGGTGACCAATTTTAAAAATGCGTGGATACCAAGGTGATGGTGAATGGAGGGCGTAGGAGACCGTGCGCCTGTAAGAGATGACTGCCATGGGCCTCTGACAACCAGTGGTAAGGTCGCAATGAATACTTCCGTCCGTGGTTGAGAGTGGAATTGGTTGCACGTGCAGTTAAGTGGACTGCAGAGTGCGTTGGAGATCATTGTCTTAGGCCTGAGCCGATGCCATGACCGCAAGGTCGGCGGTAGGCAGGAGAGAAGACGCAGCGGACGCAAGGCAGAGCAACAGCGACGGGGTTGTCGACAACTGAGACGTGTGTCATCATGTAACTGCGTGACAAAGACCAGGTGTGTGGTTTCCCGTGGTGCATCTTTGTCAGATGATGCGTTAAGAGACAAAAGGAGAGGCGGGGGATTAGTGTAGACCGTGAAAACCCGGCCTGCTAAAGGGCTTCGGAAGTGAGGAATAGCTAAGTAGATGGCAAGCAGTTATCTAGGAAACGTGCTGTAGCGGAATTACGCTGGTTCCATGCGTTTGAAGACGAAAACAAGTGGTTGACATTACCCACCAACGTGTTGTGGGAAACCAGCTCATACTGCAACGTCTGAAGTGTCAGTTGTCGAAGCATGGGGTGCATACGGTTCTGAGTAAGCAAGAGCCACATTAGTGATAGCACACTTGAGCTCGTTGAAAGCCATGTGCCATGTGTCGTGGAAAGAAAACTTACGTTCTTTTCCACTGAGGAGGTCAGTCAGAGGCTGCATGAGTTAAGCACAGTGGGGGACGCAGCGTCCATAGTAGTTGACTTGGCCACAAAATCGACTTAGGTGCTTAAATGAAGTAGGGACTGGGAAACCCTTGATGGATTGGACCTTGCCCCCAAGGACCTGGAAATCATATAATGAAACGAAATGACATAGGAATTCTACAACGTTCCTGCCAAATTTGCAGTATTATTGGCTGTGACGTTGTTTACTCAAACGTTAAGAGAAAGCTTGAAGGTGAGCTAGGTGTTCTTCGTCGGGCGAACTGGTCCATAGAATGTCATCGAGGTAGAGATATGAGTTATGTAGGCCACGGGTGACTTGGCGAATGAAGCGCTGAAATGTTGGTGTGTCAGTACACAATCGGAAAGGCATTATCGAACCTTCGAACATACCGAAGGGGGTAATGACGGCATTTCCGTGTATTTCTTGTTCATCTATAAGTGTTAGGTGATAGGCTCGAATATGCTCAAACTAGCTAAAGACCATCTTGCCCGCGAGGCATGCAGTTAGGTTCCGCATACGTGGATGGGCAGTTGTCGGGTACCGTGTGTTCATGTAGGGCCGGATAGTGACGGCTAGGGTGCTAGTCTGCAGATCTCTTTGGGACCACCTGAAATGGGGAGAACCAAGGGTTATCCCAAGACCTGAATATTCCAAGTTCGTGCATGTGCCCAAACACCGCAGTAGCGAGCTTCAGGTTCTCAGGCAAAAGTCGGCACGGGCGTGATGAGACGAATAGGCTTTTCTTACGGATTTGATACTTGACCTAATATGCCACGGGGAGAGCTCTATTCATTGACAAAGCTGGCTTAGTTTACTGTGAGAATAGTTAGGCGTAGTCGGAGGAAGCCTGTGAGCAAACGTAGGCTGCAACGGAACAAGGGAACAATGGATTTATACGGGTAAAGAAGCTAAAGTTTAACAGGTCCCGCAGGATGGTTTCGGTGAAACTACAAAAAATAAAATAAAATGTTAGCAAAATTGGGTTTGTACGAGTGAACTCACTGAAGGATACGTAGTGTAGACTGTAAATTATAGGTAAATCCCTAAGAAATGACTGCAAATGGGATGTTGGTAAAAATCGTGTCTCGTACTTGTGTACACATAGAGGAGGCAAAAAAGGTGGAACGAAATCCGTGATTTGACCGCCAGTGAAATCGCTTACCGACACTTGTGTTTATCCATGGGTAATGAGTCATATAAGGTGGAGCAGGGGAATAAGTGCACGGTCAACTCGGGCTTGGAACGCCACCAGCGTGACAGCCGCTAGGATAGATTATGGTAGGGCATTCCACGTAGGGCAAACCCGTACGGAAATGAAATTCCGACAGCATTCCAAGCGACTGTGTTGCTACGTCATTTTGAGATGGTGACATCTCAAATTGCTGTTGTGAATGTGCTCTAGTACTTAGCACAACACGTGATTGGGATGTCTCAAAATTTGGTACGTCAAGCTGCGGTCCCCGTGCAATCGCTGATACTATCCGCTGATTACACCGAGCAAGTGTAGCCTTCGTTCATCCGGCAAATTATACAAAGCCTGACATCATTGGTTGGTCGGCGTTAGGGTATCTCCAAGGCGGTGTGATCTCTCCTCAGCCATGGCTACTAGACCCGTATTGCGTATTTCACCTGTGCCGTATGTATGAGCCGAGGTTGTGCAAAAGTTGAGGGGTCGAATGATCTAAACGCATGCTTCAGCAGTCTTACATGTTGGATGCCCATCCTAGACACCGTTTCATCCTGCTTCTAACATCATAGGTCGACCTTGACAGAAACCCAGGTGTTTCTCACCGGAAGGCGTTGGAAGCTTCTGGTTGCTGCTGGTAGGAGTGCACCACCTTGGGCCGTAGGTGTAGCACTCTACATTATACCAAATTAAACCTGCGTATATTCTGGGTTGATTACGCGTAAACCCTATCCAACCAAACTTGAAGAACCTTAATATCGTCTGGTGTTTTGATCGCCTCCACACCTTGATGTCGTGGCATAGCGCCGGCGGTTCGGGCTTCTGATCCGTGTGATATCGTTAATGTGAGTCAAAAATAATTGCGGTCGTAGTACCGATCCCAGATATACTCCGCACACAAGGCGGATGGGGTCTGATAGCGGTGCACGCACGCGTAGTTCCAGGCGCCGGTTTAAAAGAAAGCCTCTAAGCCATCCTTGGCGAGCATCACCAATACCAAAGGTCTGGAGTTCGAAGAGCAGAAACTTATTCTATAACCGGTCGAACGCCTTTGATACGTCAAGGAAGACTACATCAACTCTTGTTGCAGAGTATAGTACCTCAGTCCAGTTGGATCGTGCTAGTACTAGATTTGTAATGCACGTTCGATTTCGCCGAAAGCCATGCTGTTCCCATACCATGTAGTTAAATTCTTTCAAGTAGGCGGTTAGTGCGTCAGAAGTGATAGCTTCCATGGCCTTAGGAAGAACCCGCAGCAAGGTTATTGGACGATAGTTGTCTGGATTGGAACGAACACTTCCCTAGTAAATAGGCGTACTCATCCAGTGTATCCACATGTCGGGAACGTACACTTCTTCAAAACAGTGTTGGGAAAATCGTGCCAAATGATCAACTAAACCCCCTCTTACTGCCGCTAGCGATTTCGTGTTAGCGCATACTCAAAAGCATTTTTAGTACAGCTACTGCCGTGAACCATGTGCGTTAGTTTTGGGGGTAAAACAACCATCTCCAGAAGGTTAGGTGGCCCGTGATCACACTGCAATGTTGCAGCATATTATAGGCGCAGGGCATCTACTGCGTCCGCTGTGTGAAGAAGAGGAATTATCCTTTCCACCTTACGTAGACTGTTGAAGTGTGAATACAGAAGCTTGCGGTGTGAGACCATACGCATTCTGTCCTCGCGAAAAGCTGAGTACAGTGGTTACGTTGGGTCGCATAGGCCATCCAGTTCTCGGTGCTTAGGGAAGTTTGTATATATGCCGGGCTGAGTTTCGCACCGTTATACACTTGCGTGTCCTGCTTCGCAGAAACGAGACAACGTTTCACGGGAGACGGTATTAGTCGTTGAGGCTATAGCAACTAGAGGGCTAAACTGGCTGACGAAATTTTCCCATGCACTAGCTGTGCCCCGCCTGCCGGAACTGTTTAGTTGGCCGCCTCACCTAGCCGAACTTATATGTCGTAGCTTTCATACATTCCCGTGGCGTCGGCAATCCTCACAGGATATTCTCAGAGCGAATGTATTCGAAGTAGCAATGCATGGGCGTTACGGCTCAACGGGACATCGACGGCCACCTTTTCGACCATTAATTCTTGGTTGGTGAATATCCGAACAAGAATTGAAGGCGCGTATTCTTCTCGGAATCGAGTGTGAGTGTTGCTGAGGCCGTACTTCGGGTAACTGGAGACGAGCTTTTGTAGATCGACCTTAAACTGTTCTCCGTAAGCTGCTTGAGATTCCAGAGCATGGATGTTGAAATCGTCGGTTATGTGAATGTGACTGAAATTTGTATTTAGCACCCTCCTTGTTGCGGATGCCAGATGTGAGTCCACCTCGGGCGTGGAGGAAGTAGGACGGTAAATGACCACCACTAAACAATTGCCGTCGCCTTTTAACCGTAAACGGCACCAAGGCGAACCTTGCACCACGTTGACTGGATCCTCTATGAGCTCCCATTGGAGGTCTTTGTGGAAGTAGAGTGCCACCTCTCCACCGTTGCTGGGTCGGCCGTGCCGAACCCTAGACATGCCTGGCAGTGCAATAATCCTGTCACTTATGTCAGGGGGTAAGCGTGTCTTCGTTATAGCGCTGAAGTAGTAGGCATCCGATCCATGATGCAACCGCACTTCGGAAAGTTTACTCAGTAAGCCGAGCATTGGTGTACATAGAGCAAAGCTTTCTGGATGTCAAAAGCTGTTGACTAAGAGCACATAAATGATGTAGATTTGTGCCGATTGATATAGGCCAGCACCTAATCATCTTTGGGTGAATTTTTAGGTCTCGACAACTACGTAATCCGTGTTTGTTCTCAATTGCACCTGCGGCATGTAGTCCAGCGGCAGCCTTCTTGATATCTACGGGTCTTAGCGCACAAGCTTCTGGATCGTTGTTGTGGTTATATTGAGTCGCGGGTGGTGTCTTTTCCACGATAACGACAAACGGCTGCGGCTCCTAAATACTGTCCTCAGTCGTAGTTCCGAGGGAAGTGTGTTGTGCAGTACCTGTCAGCTACGGATGAAATTCATGGACATCTGTTGTGATTGTACCATTAGTTTCAGGATCCTCGGGCCACTGCCTCTGTAGTTTGGCGACACGGGTAACCGTATAAACGCATGAAATAGGACGTGGCCTGCACGGTGAGCTTCAAGGACGTAACCCCATTCTTCCAGGCGTGAGCAAGGGCTTCATCGTTGCTGGTTGTCAGCAAATCGAGCACGCCAGTTACAAAAAATTCTTTTGCTGCTCCCCGTGTGGCGGTCGTTTGAGTTATTTTTGTCCGCTGGCGTTCACTTCAAAGGATATCCGGAAGTATGCGTATTCCACTGTGTTTTGTTCGCAAGCGGTATGCCGACAAGAGTGCCGTGACGACATCATCTAATGATCCCAATGTTAATCGCATTTTGCGGGCTCCCCATAATATTTCGAGGTTGGATGTCTAGTGATGCGCATTCTGTTAGTCGGACTTACTTGAACGCCGAGTTTATCACAAAGGAAATTCCCTTACTTTAAATCATCTAGCTGTTTACCTCTTAAGGATTTTGATTTGGACTCAAGAACATTGGTACATATAAGTGTCAAGGCTCCATAATTCCGCCTGGGCTTCGGTGATGTGGGAAGCACGGTTATCGATGGAGTTAGTGATGCCTATGCAGGTTGAACCTGATCCTTGACTCATTTTGCTGCTGTACTGGGTGGGGCTACTGAGGGCGTAGTTGGTTTATACCGAGCAGAAACGGTTGCACATGTGGGTAGGTATTTATATCGCTTCGGATTTTGTTGGTCAATAGGAAGGGTGAGTGTTATCGATGTTGCATCAGTGGACGCATTATATAAGAGGATATGGGCGATGGGGCAAGACATGGTCCTATCGGTCGCGATGGCGACTTGGTTCATGCTTCCCAAGGTTTCTAGCATTGCGCGGCCCTTTGAACACCTGTCCCTTTTCCTTGGTTTCAAGGCAGAAAGTGTGGGAGACGCAGGTGATAAAAGATGGCACATTTTCGCTTTGAGAGAAGAAATTTTTACACTTAAAATATGTTCAGTTCGGACAACTAGCCTGTCGTACTTTTGTATTAATGCTAGTGCGCAGTTTACTAGTAGAATCGCTGTGCATTTCGGACAGAAGTAAAGTGAACACGGCGTAGTGTATTTCCTTATGTCGGTTCTAAAGATGCTGACGCATTTTGCATGGTACCGGCCTTGGCATTTTGTACAAGTCAAGTTTTATTAGCACAAAATGCTTCATCTCTGGTCGCCGGTGTGGTAGTCATGACGGCCGATTACCGTAGAACAAATGCAAAATGGCGAACATAAACAGCAGTTGGGCTAATCACTAAGGACTCCGAAATTAGACAGAGAACATCCAGCAAATTTGCACAGATTGAATAATACACTAAAAAATGTTAGTGTATGATTCACAAAGAAAAAGCACGTATAACAGAGTAATACAGAAGCACACGTGGAATCTAGCGCATTAAACCAATAGTTACGGCGTCCTTTGGTACATCCAATATCATGCAGTGACAACCTTGACGTCGGCGACGCTGAGCGTCACGGAGGGGTAGATTAGCCGCTGTTGTTTTGCTTTGACCAAGTGGGCGAAATGTCTGAGTAAGTGTATGCCAAAGCTGGCAAACGGGACAACGGCAATAATGAACAACCAGCGAAATGTTCTACGGTGACCCAAGATGAGGGTAAAAGAGCGTCGGCCGTAAGTAAGGATCAGTGTGCCGTTGGCAGCATGAAACCTGGGAGCGGCCAACTGAGTTGCCTCACCAGGTGTGGGAAAAGCCACGCTAAGTACAGCCCAGCTATTGACCAGGAGGGCGGTTCCATCTTTGCAGTCATTAACGCAAATGAGGCGGATGCTGTCGGGAATGTCACTGACTCTAGTCGCCTTTACGTCGTGGACATAGAGTTTTCCTATTTAGTCGCATTGAAGGTGCAGGATGTGTTACGACGTTTGGCTTGTGCACAAAATCGCATGTTATGCTAATAGTACTGGCAACGCCTGCAAAATAGTTACAGTTAGACGATTTGCTACGTGAGTTGCGTCCGTGATTATTTGATATGTTGTCAAAGTCACAGCCCAATGCAGCTAATACCTCAAAAATATTCGTATATTTCTGTGAAGTATGGGCAGACTGGGTGGGATACGAACAACAAAGGAAGGGAAAGCTATTATGAGTACAAGGTAACTATGGTAAAGGGGAAGTGACAAAATTAAGCTGGAGACGAAACGTTCAACTACTGCGTCAGCTATCTGAGGGCATCACCTAGCGATTGAAGTTTATTCGCGGTAAGAATACGTTAGGCAGTTGCTGATAAACGCTGTAACCAGAACTCGCGCAAAAGTAACTCGTCCACGGATGATATACCGAGCATTTGGCGCATCTCACTCATTAGCATTGATGGTTACTTGTCGCCAAAATGCAGACCTTGGAATAGCTGTTTCATACAGGTCTGGTAGGATGGCGTGCTTCTACTAATGACGGCCTTCTTAAGTGTATCGTAAGGTTGGACAGAGGCAGGCGGCATTAAAAGCTCTCTGAGTTACAGGGCTACGCTGCTGAGCAGCCAAGCTGGTAGCTGGCTACATGTTGTTGAATAAGTGGTGACCCTAGAGCGAGGGAACTCAGAATCTAACAATGCGAACCGAAAGGGTGGATGGCTAAGAATGAACGGCGTGATGGGAAATGAGACAGAATTTAAAGGAATATCAGGACGCTTAATGTCCAGCGCGGGCATGATAACAGGGTGCTAAACGGTGAAAAAAGGAAAACCGAAAATATGACAAGGTTTGGTGTTACCGGGGTGGGGAGTAGAAGATGGCTGCGATCGAATACGCAACCGGGGTCACCAATTGTAGAGTCAAATCAGTTAGTGGTTGCGAGAATTACCAGTAAGACCAAGCACGGATACCCAGGAGGCAGAAGCGAAGCATTGCCGAACCCAACGTGTATCGTACGAACTACGAATAACTGGAAGGCAAGTAGCGAATCATGGAGCGGTGAACGGGACGATTCAAAAGAACATCGAAAGTGAACGCCAAGTAACTTCAGCAAAGCAAATAGACGGTCAGAAGAAGCAAACAAAAATAAAATCCTTTGTAGCGAAATAATGAAATCGTTAATGTATCACGTTCACTACAGTGGTGACAATCTCGTTGTATCGTGAATGACGGTAAAAACCAGTAAATTTCACCGTGAAGAAAGACGACCAGTTTCTACGAAACAAGCTCCGTAACATCTTGGGTGCAATAATGGCTAAGATTCGCAAAATATGAGCACAGAACAAATGGCATTGCGAGAAATGATTGTTGTTCAAGTTCATGCCAAAAGGTAAGCACAAAAGGAAAAACAGACCAATGCGTGATGTTAATTTACTTCTGATTGCAGATGCAGAACGAGCGGATGACGGTAGTAGCAACACCCAAAGGACAGGTTGGAGACCTGTTGTAAGTACTTGCAGCAATACGAGGAGCGCTGCTTCAAATTACGCGGGGACACTGAAAAGTGAGATCCGGTAATGCCGTTTAAGGATGAGATCATTAACCGTTGGGAGGCGATCTCTGGTGAAACACTCCGTAGCCATTGCATAACAATTTCGCAAGCTGTAGAGTGGAATGCTAGGCGTCCGCTGAAATCCGTCGCATATACTTAGTATGTGGTTCAAATCGATCAGGTTCATTTTCAAAAGCTGCTTCTTCAGCAATAATCACAGATGGAAGCACAAATGAAACTGATTAAAGTTTAACGCAGTGTTTAAACGTACAGTCAAACGGAGAAGCTACGTGGGACATGCAGTCTATTTCACTAGATCTTCTGACAAATGCAATCAATGCGTTTCATTCTAATGCTGATTCCGAATGCATTTTCGAGGCGTGGTTCAAACGATGGAGGACATATTCCAGACGGGTTTCAGCCGTCAAGATGATTTATGAAAAGCGCGTCGTTTGCTCCGTAAGCTCGGTACTAATGGACATACAAGATTGGTTGACCACATCCTGCCCAAATAGCCGAAAGACATCATTTTCAACGAAGCAGAGTCAACAATCAAAGAAAATTTTGGTGTGTCGACGTCTTTGTTTAGCATTTGGTACCAATGTCTAAAATTCTTGAGCGTGATGCAGACGAGTATGGAGCACTAGCCGGCATTGTTAACCATGAATGTGAACCTTTCAAGTTAGCTGTTTGACGGAAATCCAGTTTAAGTGTCTCATATTTGTCAGTGCTTTACAGACATCACGCGACACGGAAATTCACACACGGCTCCTTGATAAGTTGGAACAAGATCCAGGTTTGACATTCAAGTCTATTGTAGGCTAATGCAAACGGTTGATTACTCTGAAACACGACACCGCTATGATTGAGCAAGGGCGCCATACCCATTGCCTATATTGTACATGTTGTGTAAAAAGCTAGAAAGGCTGGATCGAACAAGCCGTTCAACAGAATGTCGAATAAGCCGCCCGCACCTTGTTGGTCGTGTGGCGAAGGGCATTTCGCACGATACTGTCCATTCAAGCGTCACCTTTGTGCTAAGTGTCATAAACCCGGCCACAAAGAAGACTGTGGACATCAGTCCCGTCCAAAACACCTGAAGCAGTCTTAGTGACGCAGTAGCACAATCGGGGATTGCCACATTTCACAGCGAT